CGGCTGACCTGTGATTGGCTGCTCGGCGGCGTAAAAGGCGGTCCTAATGGCTTCAACTGTCATTCCAGGGGATTCGTTCGTAGCAGCAAACACGGCCGCCGTCTCCAAGTGTTTTCCTCAAATTGCGCGGCCCAAACGGCTCGTTTGTACGCTTGCGCTAGCCGCCCCGATTGAAAGTTGCCAAGTGTGACTTTTAGTGAGTTGTCACTATGTTTTACAAAAAAAAAAAGGAACGGTCCTTTTTCGAGGTTGAAGCGCGGAGCAGACGCGGTGCAAGATGGCTCGACTGCTGTGTGCAGAAAGTGAAGTTGCTGTGGTGAAGAGGCGGAGTGGGCGTCGCACCCGCCCAAGAGGAAACTCGCTGCTGTCGCCGTCACCCTGGAGCGGGACCGAGAGTGTTAACCTCCATTATTGCCGAGGCACTACAAACCAATTTAACTGTACCGTCGTCATTTTGGAAAATGTCCACGTTTTTTTAAATGGGAGTTTCTCTCGCGAAAAGAACGTACTAAAACGTAAATAAAGAGCATTACCGGATCCCCAACCTGTTGTACGTCAGTCAATTCAGAGTCAGTTGACAATAGTCAGGCACAAACATTGACTCACAACCTCAAAAAATGTTTCTACAGTATTGTTGCCTGCCCACAAAAATGAACCGATGATGACAATTTTCAAAATTCCTGCAAAAAGTATTCGCACTCTGATTAAGTAGAAGTCCGAGTACAGCGCTTGCGTTGGATTTAAAGTATAAGTACTGATTCAATTAAATGAAAAACATATTTAAGTTACTTAAAATGTAGTTTAGTGCAAATGTAAAAGGGCGTTTTCAGTGTCAATTACATACAATGTGTTCTTTTAATTAGATGTTCAAAAAATGACAGGAAATACCTTGCTTATTTTATCTGTTGCCTCATTTCGTAAATGGTCCTTGATTCCCACGTCACTGCTGACGACAGAGGGTCAAATCCAGGCCCACAAAGTAAAATCCATGCCACAGTTCGGTTACAGCCAAATGTGTTTCCACGCAACGAGCAGGTAAACGAACTTGCTGAGTAGAAGCACCTGTGGCTCAAGCCAAACTATAGCAGACTTTTTACTTGATGGACTTGGGTTTGACACTTCTGCTGCGGACCTTGTTTTTGGCACCTTGTCATCACTGAATCACCTTCACCTCACCTCTCTCTGGGTCTTTTTATTTTTTCATCAAGTCATCATCCGCAGAGGTTGGAAAGATTAACAAAATTATTGTGAAAAATATGTTGATAAAGAAAAAATATTCACATAAAGGAAGATTTGATTCTATTATCAATAAAAGAAAGTACATTCCCAAAAAATAAATGAATGCACTATGAATCATGTTCAAAAGAGATAAGAAGTCCCACAAAAAAATTGCTAATCCTGCCCTCTACATTTAAAGATGTTCACACCAACCAAGTCCCTTTTGTTAAAAATTGGTTTGTCACTTACTGCATTCAAAATAATCACACAAGAAAAAAACAACAGCGTAATCAGTAACAATTCATCTGAAAAATAAATACTCAAGTAAAGTACAGATAGCTAAGAAATGTTTTTTTTTAATCAAATACAGTCACAAATGACCACTGATAGCAAGCAGGATAATATGCTTTCCAGTGGCGGCTGACCAGTAGAGGGTGCTATGGTTCCACTTCACCACATAGCAAGAAGACCTTGAGAAATAAATACTAACAAATTAGAAACCTGAAAATATTTTGAAATATGTGCATACCTATTTTTTGATAGCAGAACAGATCTATACAGGAGTGCAGTAACAATTTAGGTTCTCAAAGGAGAACCAGAGGTTTTAGTTTGGTGCTCTATTTTTTTCCCTGACTTATTGATCTCATCATGGATGAACTGAAAGACTTACTGCTTGTTTAGCAAAGTACGACCCGTGGGCCATGGGGTGTATAGTATTTTTTTCTTTCTTTTTTATTTTATTTTATTTTCAAATTCAAATTCCTAAAGCACACCACCGCCAGCTTTTCTGAATATCGGAGAGTGCCGACTGAAGAATCAAAGCAACCCTGCTGGAACGCAGGTTGCGCGCCAACCGAATTGCGTCACTGCCGATCTTATAAATGACGCAGGTGCTGCCAGTTTTGTTCGTCGCTGATGAGTTAATGTCCCAACGCTCGGCTGAACCCGGTCCTCTTTCTCTCGTTGGAAGTTCATCTGCTGCAAGCATGAGTGGCCGAGGCGGAACTCCTTACATCGGCAGCAAGATAAGCCTGATATCGAAGGCGCAGATTCGTTATGAAGGGGTTTTATCCTACGTGGACACTGAAAGGTCCACTGTTGCTTTGGCCAAAGGTGAGCTCCTCGTTGTTGCCTAATTCGTATCGCGCGGCCGCCGGGATCTTCGAGAAGCAACCGCGTGACAGCGTGCATTTGTCACAGTCAAGTCATACGGGACTGAGGACCGGCACGCTGGCAGCCCACTTCCACCAAAAGATGAAGTCTATGAATACATAATATTTCGAGGGAGTGACATAAAGGAGATCACCGTCTCCGAGCCAACAAAACCGCATCATGGGCTGCCTCGAGATCCTGCTATTGTACAGGTGTGTTCTCGCGTTTCTCTTTTGACTTGCTTTGGGTAATCGTTATGGAGCGCGTTTGAGATGTTAAAAAGAAATGCCGAAGGGCAATATTTGATATCCTCTATATATTTTAAGCTACGTGTTTGTTTTTGTGATCCCCGCGAGTAGGAGAATTCAGTGCAGTTGTAGACGCGCGATTCTTTCTTTGTGTTTTTTTTCCACTATTACCTTCAATTAACTATAACTAAATTTAAACTGAAGTGAGGTAAAATCAGACTAATTTTGCACTGCTCTGACCAGTGAAGACCAGCTGCTCAGTTACTTGAGGCCCGATTAACTGTGATGTCACTTTCAGCAGGCAGAAAGTGAGTGACAAAACGGCCACCCTCTGAGATCGCTAAAAAAGGATGGATTTTGCTGCTTAAATCATATTCCACAAACGCAATATGATTCAGAATGCAAATCCTCACCGTATTCTGTCACCAGGAGTATTGATTATTACCAGCAGTTGTCAACTTGTGCACAGTTGCGCTTGCGTCTAACGCGGAAAATGAGCGTAGTGGTGCATGGTCCTTATCGCCCAAGTGCTCAAATGGCTTTGCGGCAAGGTAATCGAAGCCCTTTCAACACTTATTTGATGTCCATCATGAGAGAGACGACGGGTGGATGTTTTATTAATCTCATGGGAGAACTTGTAGTTGAATGTGGTGAGAGAAAAAAAATGTAGTGCGCTAGTATCCTCGAAAAGTTTTTTTTTTTTAAACGGCAACAGGCGCACGCTTGACTGGGTGGAGGGGCATGAATCGGGGATAGCTTCGACTAGACTCAAGAGATTCATACCGCAACGGCGGGACCATGGAAAAGAACGTGGTCCCATGCAAAGTGAGGCTTGGTCGCCAGATGACGCTGTCCAATACTCTGTCATGACTTCTTTAAATGACCGTTTCTTTTTTTAATTAAATAACTCGCTATAGTCATGGTCATGCCAGGGCCTGCTTATAGTGGATATCGACTAAATGTTCAGCTTTCCATATGTCTCCTCTTTTGCCGTTGGAAGTCATCTCTCGGGAGCTCCCCTGGTGGATATCGGCCACGCTGGAGCCCTTACCAAGACGTGATGCCCACCTACAATCAGCTGGCTCCCGGCTCTCTCCTCAACCAGCAGTACGGCGCAG